TCACACTGCTACCACTATGGCATGTGGGCCCCTTAACACATTGGCATTCCTGATTATGGGGGTGTTGATATATTACAATTATGGCTTAAACATAGATATACTGCAATGGCTAAGTCTTCTTCTTTAGCCATGAGGCACACATGATAAGGCATGAAACCCTAAGTTAGCCTAAGAAGCACGAACACGGCACGACACGGGAATATAACATAATTGAAAAAAAAATGAACGATACGTCATGGACAAGTTTTAATATTTAATTAATTATTAATATAAAATATATGTATTTTTCATCATTATTTATTAACAACATCACAAAATATGTAAAAATAAAATTTAACATGTATTATGAAACCTTTGCTTATAAATATTAATTTTCAAAGTTAGATATATAATATGTTTCAAAATAATTCCTTCTACTTATCTACTAAAATTTAAAATATCTTATGATTACACATTGTTTAATTAAATAAGTTAAAATTTAACTTTTTGAATTAGAATAGGTAGAGATTTATAACTATTAACTCAATAAAGATAAAAAATATAAATTATCACTTACAATATTAGGGTTGTTTAGACTCTACTTGGCTTTGACGAATAGAAGTTTCAATACAACCATCGCAAAGTTTGTAACGTTATGTGGATTGGCTTCAATAAACATGTTTGACTCTTGCACAAGTTGCGACAAAGAAGTTTACCGCTTCCACTTTAGCGGGTGTAAGTTTGGATTCGATGAAAAAAAGAGAACTACAACGCTCTGTTAAGACAAATACAAGATGGGCCTTTGATGCTATGCTTCGAAAAATATAAGTTTGACCTTTAACACTTGACTTTAACAAACAAATAGGGAACTACTAATGTTCAGCTTTGATGAATATTTGATGCACCTTTAATGTTCGATTTTGATGAAGTTTTATATGATGAGAGAGGAGATAGCTTCAACTATGATGTAGAATTAAAGCTATACATATATTTATAGTTTCTACTTCAAGTGTCTCGGTTTTTTTTCAAAATCGTGTTGAGCTCATATCCGAGTGTTGTTAAGGCCTATCTCAGACTTGTTCGGGCCTGAAAAAAAAATTCAAACACATGTTATAATGTCAGACAAGTGACGAGACGTGTTGAACAAGCGTTGGTGTCTGATACATATCTGACATGAGCATGATACATTTTTAAAAGTGTCGGTGCTACAAAGATGCTAGCCAATATCGACTCAAAATTAGCCCTTTAGACAAGCTTCCACCCAAGTTTACCAGATTCTCTAAGACAATGTAACTCATAATTACAAATGAGGTTCATTTGGACTAGTTGATTGAACACATCCAATACGTAGACTAAAGTTCATGGCAAATCAAGATGATAAAACATTGAATCATGATCAAATTTGTCATCATTCAATCATCATGTGCTCTAATATAACAACTGCACTCTCTATTTTGATCTAAGTTGTTGCTATTAAAGCAAAATATCATAGAACCTTAATTGAAAATTTCCTCACGATCAAGAGAGATAATCAATTATAAAGGCTTGTGTTGAATAATATTAGAAAGTCCTCTGTGATGATGAAATCATAATATCTTATTTTATCTACTATTCAATACAATTGATAAAAAAAACCAACTCAAAATCACTCAAAAATATCAACAAAGCTAAGTGAGAATTTTTAGGATTCACAATGAATCAGTTCATGAAAGACTAAACAGTCTTCTGTGGAATGAAAATGATTTCTTTAATCTCATATTATTTATTTTATAGTTAATTAAGCAAACCCCAGCCTTGACATAATCATTTTTTTAAGAAATATGATGTCAATCATTATTTATATAGTTCATGTGTGTTACTGAACAACCAGAAAATCAAATGAAGCATCATAACTAATAAAATTTTCTTTTAATACAGGCAAATTTGGATAAAAAAGATGTCAATCAATATTTATATCGTTCATGTGTGTTACTGAATAACCAGAAAATCAAATGAAGCATCATAACCAATCAAATTTTCTTTTAATACAGGCAAATTTGGATAAAAAGAAAGAAAAATGAGAGAAAAAATGTATGTGTTACATGAAAGTTAAGAGTACCTCAAAAGCTTTGAAAGATTAGCGGCTAAAGGTAGCTTTGAAAAGAACATCGCAGCAACCTTTTCGAAAATTACTGCTCAAAGACCTAAAATGAAGAATAAATAAATTAAGAAAGATTTTTCTAAGCATATAAAAAGTATCTCTTGGGGAAAAACACTCAACAAGCATAACTCAATTCCAATAGTCATGGAATTGGCTCATCTTTTAGCTTATATGATGCAACTGTCTTCTTATTTCATAACATAGAACACTATAGGCATGATGGGGGAAAAAAAGGTTTTGAAAATATTAATACTGCATTTTTCTTTGTACTAAAGAAGATTAATCACTAGGATAACTTCACCATATTATATTTGTGCTAAAAAAAAGGTAAAAGGACAAGGTACACATTAAAAAACTTTTTAATTCTATCAAAATAATTTCATCTATCCATCTTATCAATGTATCTTCAATCCACTATCACATATGCCTCGATCATTCAAGTATAATAAAAAAAAATGAACAAATTTCTTTTTGCCAAAACTAGGATTCCATCAAACTTTTGGCTAGAAACAAATAAAAAAATGCACTAACAAAGTGTTTCATGGCTGCATCAGGATATTTATCATAGACGCATGCACAAACAGCATAGCACAGTGTGTGTGAGTTCCTTGGGGGTGGTTTATGTAGTTTATGCTGGCTCTATGTTAATTATGATGAGTACAAACACTTCGTGTGTACTTCAAAATTGCTCTGCCTAGCAAGTGAAGTTGTATAACAATAAGCCCCTGAACTCAATGGACTAACACTAAACATTAGCTAGGTATACTCAAGAAAAGCTCAAATGGCTTAAATCATTGCTTATGATGGAGGCCAGTGAAGCAAAATGATGTTAATCCAAGCTTTAGCCTAAAAAAGGTCTTAACTAGCTATGTATTTTATTATTTATCTGAGCATGTTTAGGTCATACCTAGTTAAATTAATCTTAGATATTCATACGCAAAATTAATAAAACCAAAATAATGCTAATCATTTAAATTGACAAAATTCTTCTTTAAAAATTTCATATAGCCAATTGGATCGAAAAACTAAACTAACAATCAAACATGTTGAAACAACACGACCTATGGGCTCTATAATCAATATCTGGCCAGCCTAAGAGTTCCATTAAGTTTGAACAATATTGTGAAACATATTAAACAAAATAGATTCGGGCAACTTGAGGCCCCAAAACAAGTCCGACTTGGCCAATACAAGTAAATTGAATCATACTAATACACTTCCAAAGGCTTATCAAGCATGTGATGAATAAAATCTCATTGACTCATATGAATAATTACATTTTTTAAATTTTTAGCTAAATTGGCATATCAAAAAAAAAAAAGGGGAAAACCTTCAAATGAATCAAGAGAGTGGAAAGATTGCAAGATATAAGGCATTGATTGCATAAGAAACAGCTTCGATGATCAGCAACATGAGATAAAAGATGGCTCCGATGCCTAAAAATCGCTCGGGAGGGCGAAGTTTCAGAGAGGTAAAATAGGACTCACTGGGATCCGGGAGGCGTTAAGGAGCTAAACCAGCTTAGTTGGCTGAAGAAGGGCGGTGGAAAACCTCTTCAACAACGAAGAATTTCATGCAAGTTCGTTCGCAGCAGAGGAAGCTTCCGAAGAACGAAGCGAGCCGAGACAGGGTTACAGATTTACCCCCCGCGCATTTATGCATTAAATCATTTTAAAAAAAATAATAATAATTCGCATTCAGCTGATTATTTTTGTACGATCAAACCGATTACTTTTACCCACCACCAGATCAAATTTAAAAAAAAAAATGACAAAGGATTGCTGAGAAAATTTTAGTTCAAGATTTCGGATGATTCGAAGTCCAATAAAAATACTTCAAGTGTAAAGCGAACTCATCATAATATAATGTGATTGATCTACTTAACATGTGTCGCCCTTCTATTAGACTCTGAATGCATCCGTTGTCCTGATCTCGTATTTTCTCCCAGTTCTTTATATACCAAACACCATTTTTTTTAGCCAAAATTTTTTATATCACATAACAATATTACGATGTTAATTTTTAAGATATAAAATTCACCAAATTAAAGCGAAATATATGGAAAAAATTGAGCTTAGTTATTAGATATGTAAATTCATAGGATTTATGTGGTCTGCATGTAAAACTTCCAAATAAAAAGTATAACTTCATCATGATTTATGAAACTAGAGTTAGAATCTATAAAATGGATGAAAGAAGATATTAGATTTATAAATTTTCTCAATCGTCTTGAAAATTAAAAATATTCACATCCACACCATACAATTTATAAGCATTTATATACATAAACATCTAAATTTTTATTTTTATTTTTAGGGCATTTACGGAAATGCCACCTAATTCATATGCACTTACATATTCACACCTAAACTGTAGTTTTTTTTTACAATCATACCACCCAAATTCTTTAAATCACATTAAAAGTAGCATAATTTTAAATTTTAAGCTAAATACGAACACATCAAAATGCATTTATTCAGACAACTATGGTTTATAGCAATTAGTAAATCAAATATATTATATATCGATGATACGATATTACAAAATAGGCCGACTTGAACTGTTTTACATTACAACCCAACCAATCTCTTATTTAACATGACTTATTTTCAAATTTAACCGGCAAATAATCTTTTGAAACATTCACATACATACGACTATGCTTCAACTTTTGAAAAAAATGGTGTATTCACTCTTTAAAATTTCAAATGGTGATTTATATCTTTGATGTGATATGAAAGGGTTGGGTGGTATAAATGTAAAACGTAGAGTTCAGAAGTTAGATATGTAAATACATAAAAATTGGATGGTATGCATGTAAATATGCTGATACAACTATACCTATATATATTTTTCTAATTGTAAGAGCAATTAACTGCATAAAGATAACAAAATTTTAGCTTCATATTAAAACGACAAAGATTATCAAGTCATACATAATGGGGGAAAGCAGTAAAGAACTCAAACTAAGATGGCTTGAAAAGATCCGCAGTGGCAGTTGTTCGGCCAAAAACAGGCATTGCGGTTTGTACTCCTATTTCTTCTTGCCTCCAGTTTTGGATTTCTTGCTTGGTGGCGCTTTGGTTGCCTTGGCTGGCGTATCCTTGTTTCAGAATGAAATATCAATAATAAGCAGATGCATAAACTGTGTTGCAGAAATGAGTTGTAGATCGAGCAACAAAATATCAGTTAAGATCTATGTATTTCCATAACTAAACATAAAAGTCATCTTACCCATGCAAAAAACAAATGCATTGCTTTTTAGAAGTTAAAATAGTATCTTTCATGAACTTGTGTGAATTTCCCTTATTTCATTAAAGTATATAACATGTATACTTGGTCTATCCATGCTTGCTTCTAATGTGATAGTGTGGTGAGCAAGTGATTTCTTTTGGGGCTATCATGTGATCATAACATCTGATGTGATGACTGAAGATAATAACGATCGATATATTGTATCTAAGAATATCATGGATGAGTGTAGTACTTGAATTGAAATACAATCATCCCTTTTTATTCTAAGTTACAATACTCAATAGATACTCATGATGTATTATAAATTCTATATAACAATTCCATACTTGAGCAATAATGTTTCCTAATAGATTCCAACAAATGAATTATCCAATTGATGCAGGCAATAGTAATAAATGTGACAATAATATATCACATCAATCGAAAAGTTTGACTGGATTTTCAATAGGAGCAAGATGGACATTAATTGGACCTATATTTACTTGAATAGAAAACTTCTCAATAATGTTGATGGTTAAAAAAGAGATGGGAATGAAATTAGTAGGTATCATTATTTTTTTCCCATTTAAATTTCAAGGTATCATTATTATTTCCCATTTAAATTTCAATTATGATTTTCAATTCCGTTCTCTTTGAGATCATTAGAATTTGTGGTATTATTTCAACTTTTAAAATTTTTTAATCATCAATTCGATGATTCAAATTTTTTCAATGATAACTTAGATTTCATGAGTGGATAATTGTGATTTCAAAGTTAATAAAATTTCGAATGAATTAAATTAGTACAAGTATGAATTATGATGCATGTATTAGAGGACTGTAATGATCAAATAAAATGATAAGCCTTTGTTTTTAAAAGAGCTTCTACATCAATAATTCAATCATACATGTATTATTGGCATGCTTAAGAATGATTAAATTATCATGAAATTTGATGAAAGTCAGTCCATAAATAACTGTCATATTATAAATCGCAATAAAAAAAGTGATATAGAGAGTGAGAGATGAGCTTCTCATCAAAGGAGAAGAATGAATATTTTCCTTAACTTTACCTATGCATATGCACTTCATACAATTGCCAATCCAAGATCGCACAATTGATTGTGATTTACAATAAGAGAATCATTTGTGAATTGAATGTCATTGATTTTTATGACAACTTAATCATTCTTATTGAAAATACAAGGATGATTAAACAGCATATAGAAGCCCTCTTAGAAGCCAAATTTTCTTTTATAATTAACCACCAAAATCATCCAACATAGGATAATATCACCATAAAACTATGTATTTAAATCAAACTCAATTGAAAGTCTCTACATATGGAAATAAAATTTAGCTTCTCATTAAACATGAGCCATTGAACAAGAAACTTTAAAATAAAAATTAGATTGTGCATGCTATTAGTTTTAATAATATGAAAGAGAATATATGATTTTGACAACTCATTTAAAAGTCATAAAATCAAAATCTAATTTGTGCAGGATGAAAGATTTTTCACACACACTGTTCATTCCCCTCCCAAGTATATATTTGCATAGATCACCCTAAATAGTTTTCAAACTCAGGAAAACATTGCATAAGAAAGTTATAATAATTGTCTAGAGATTCTATCGCAACTTTTTTTACAGAAACCATAAGCCTAAACATCTAAAAAATTTGAAGAACTGCTATGCAACAAAATTAAATTACAAAACCAAATTGTTTTTCTATCCTTTTTTTTTTTTTTCTGATGCAACCAACACCCAGAATATTGATCTCCGTTAGTGTCAATCTACCAATGTAAACAAACATGCTCATTATCAGCATTTTAGAAGAGAATAACACAAACAACTAGCAGATTTTATAGAAGAAAATGTGAAATGTTCAAGTAAAATATGTTTATAGATAGCTCACCTTCCGTTTAAGAGGTTCAGATGGCTTTATCACGGGCCTAAAAAATGACTCCAACCTGAGATCATGCATAGCATTTCAGTAGAAATAACAAATCCTCTCAAAAACAATACAAAATTATACTTACCTCCCTTGGCTGCCTTTATCCTTCGCTGCTTTAATCTTTTCTATAGCCTGAGAGAGATGTATGAAAGGTAACCATGTAAATGGTAGAAATATGCTGAAAAAGAATTTGGTCAAGTGCTTGGATGAAAGAAATTACAAACCTTGCTAACACGGTCATGATTGAAACCATTTTCGTTCACCAAGAAAGCTACGAGTCCCTAAAAGAAAAATAAAACAGCTTGAAGAAATGTACAGAATTAAAATAATTATTAAGATTACAATAACAGTAGTTTGGGGATCATTTACATCTTCATCTGGAGCAGTCCATTTCAGTTCTGGTATTTCCGAGATCACTACAGGTTCTTTAAAGAGCTGACGAGCTTCTTGATACGGCCAATCCTCAGGTATATGATACCTATTTCAAGTTAGCAATAGATGGTTAAGTGAATTTTCAGTTTAAAAATGAAAAAAAAGGCCCCATGAGATGTTACAACTGCATCATCTTAACACTGGCAGTCAAGTACATGACAAATAGTTAATTTATTATGTTCATTAGTGAGGCATCCACTCCACATATGAACTTAGGGGCATTAAGCCTAAACTTATGAGCGTTAAGGCTGATACAGGAAGAAAAATAAATAAATATAGATATCAAACTCCAATCAAGGTTTAAAATTATGCATTTGGGTATTGGGGGCACTTTTGGTCTGTGTTGCAAGTTGTAAGTCTCGAAGCATTTTGAGACATAAGCCCCAAAATTAACAAATTGTACCATACAAAAAGTATTGTATTAAAAAATATAGTAAGAAAAACATATTAAAATCTTAATAAATTAAAATCTAACATTTTAACATCTTAAAATGATAAAATTAATAAATTGCACAAAAATAGGAAGTTCAAAGTACGAAGCAATATATTAGCATTCAAACATCAAACCATAAAATAAAAAGAATTATACAACCATCAAAATAAAACATAATAACATAATTCAAAGTAAATTTAATACAATTAGTTACTTTGTTAATATAATTCATCACAATAAGAACATAACAAGTAACTAAAATTAGAATTTCTAAATTCAAAAATCATCATCACTCTTATCACTTAATGGGTTTTTCTTAAAATCATCAACATAACAATTAACTTTCTCCTTCACCCCATCCTTGATAGTATTTGTGTTCTCTCATTACTTCTCATCTTAAATCTCAATCATCTTTCTGTTATTTAATCAATATTGCTGAGCTCCACATCTGCTCCGTTTGACGAAAACAGTGAATATCAAGTGCAACAACAAACTGTTAAGAGCTTACTGATCGCAATCAACATCAAAGCCACCCAAACAATGCTTGATCATAAAATAAACTGTGCGAGCGAATTCAACAAGTCAAAATTGGCTAAGAAGGATTCTTCTACAATCAAAAGAAACAAACATGGTGAAATAGACAGGTTGTCAGCACGATAAACTATGTTTGAACTCAAATCAACTCGCCTGTCGTTAAAGTTTGATTTTATTTCATTAACTATTCTTAGTTTCCTGAATCCAACACATTTTATTTTATATTTTGATCATTTTCTTTAATTTCCTATGATTTTTTAAAGTTCTTTATTATTTTATATTTTCTTTAATTTCATATGACTCTTGTAAACATCAATGCTCTTCATTATTGTCAAGATTAACGCTCAACTTCTTATGGGTGTGCCTTCCAGGAGTATGATTAGAAACTTTGTGTGTTACTTGCTCTCAAAGAGTCTTTCTAGTGATGATTATATCCATTATTAGTTTCCATGGAGCATATCTCTTAGGGTGCGCCTTTTAGGAGTATTATAAAATGTAATAATTCATAGCATGTAATAGCATAATAAATAGTCACATGTGTCAACAATGTATATTTGTGAATTTGAGTGTTAATGGCATGCATTAGTTGTACGAATGTGTAGAACTAGCAATGTCTAAGAGATTAGCTTCTTGGCCTAGTTGTGGATGAACTCCAGATGAGGAGGGGAGGTTGGAGGAGCATTCTCTAATTAGCATCTCTGATTGGTATTTATTTATTGGGTCAAAAAAAAATATCTATGTGCACTAAAACTTGTTCTCAATCTTCATGTATAAACTAAAGAATCTCATTTTCCTCTATTTTATGCATGCGGCCTTCAAGGGACAAAAAAGAGACACGTTCACCAATAAGATGATGTATGTCATGAGAACAAAGTAGAGGCTTGGCGTCCTTGAATTTTAGATTATTTCCTATAATGGTGAGCATTGGAATAGGATATTGTATTGTTGGAGCATTACACTTATTAGTCATTTTATTCATACTTCTACAAATGTAAGATTTTTTTTTCTTATAGACCGCGCCAAATTGCTGCGTATTAGAAATTTCTCAGCAGTAGAGAAATCTTATGTCTTAATTCAATATAATTTTACTCCACACACAGATAGAGATATAAGAGAACTATATTTTTTATGAGAAAAAAACTTGGAAAAGAAAACCACATGATCTTAAAATTAAATGATTTCAGGCTCATTGGATTTCTCTCGTCGAGACACTCAATTTGACTATAAAAATGAAATAAGTTTAGAAATTATTTAGCCTTCTGATTGATTATTTGATAACATTGTATGTGTTTGGTCGGGACTTAATTAGCCTTAGATATGATTACTTTTAGTGTTATTGGGCCGTATTCTCGAGACAATCAGTGTAATTATAAACTTCTTGAAATAGGATCTTGGATAATTTGAATTTGATATGCTTCTTGCTCAAAATACATGTAGATTCACCCCTATAGATAATTATTTTATG